GGCGGGGGAGGGTCTACTCCTGTCGGTGCAACTCTGTCCACACCTTTTCTAATAAACCAGAGTTGGGTTCACCTTTTGCCTGTTCTCTGCTCGTGCTCATCATGGTGAGGGTTCTGGGCGTGGGGGGGTGGGGGAGGCAGGGGCCAAACAGCTCTGGTTCTTGAGCATCTGGCACCTGCCCCACTCACCCATGGGCAGCTGGGGAGACAGACTTACACAGGCCTTGGTTCTAAGCTGCGGGCATCATCCTCCAGCCGGTGCCCCCTGTGCCGGGGGTGGTGGGGGTGGGATAAGCCCTCCAGGCTGTCCTGGCTTCAGCCCTCCCTTTGGTGAGATGGGAGGTTTGTTTTGCCTCAAGAGGCTGAGGAGCCACACAGGTTGGTCTGTCAGTACAGCCCCACCCCCATGTCAGTTGATGTGCGGTCAGTTGTAGCTGTTGCTCAGGAATCAATTCCTGTGGGAACTTTTGGCCCTTAGCGCATGGTGGGTGCTCTCCATGTGACCTCTGCTTCCCCTTTGTGACCTCTGCTTCCACTTTCAGGCTGGTGACCAACAGGCTGGGGTGGGGGGCAGGGGACCTCAGCATATCTGTCTCTCATGGCTGGGGTCCTGTTCCCACCCTTGTCCCTGCTCTTGCACTAAATTTAATGTGTCCCCACCTCCTTGGGGCCACAGAAAAAGATGTGAGGTCCTAACCCTCAGGACCTCAGAATGGGACCTTTGGAAATGGATCTTTACAGAGGTAATCAAGTTAAAATGAAGTCAGGTGGGCCCTGATCCAATATGACTGGTGTCCTTATATAAAGGGGAAATTGAGACAAAGACGGATGGGCATAGGAGGAATATGGTGTGAAGATACAGAGAGAAGGCCATGTGGAGAGAGAGGACTGGAGAGATGGCCACAGCCAAGGGACACCAGATTGCCAGCAAAGTGCTCAAAGCTGGAAGCGCCAGGAAGGATTCCCCTGCAGGTTTCCGAGGCCATGTGGCTCTGCTGCCACCTTGATTTCGCACTTTCGGCCTCCACTGTGAGAGAATGCGTTTCTGTTCTCAACCACCCAGTTTGTGGGACTTTGTGACACAAGCACTAGGAGACTAGCAGACCAACTCTTCAGGGCTCCTGATTTTCCAGCTTCTGGGATCCTGGATCATGGGGTGCGTTCCCTTTGCCTTCAGTCACCCGAGCATCAGCATCGCTTGTGAAGACGCAAAGAGCCTGTTTTAGTGCTTGGCTAGATGCTGTATTTTAAAGATCTCAGTCCCCTAACCAGGTGTTTCTTTTCACACACATGGGTGTTCAGGGTGGCAGGCAGCTCTTCAAAAAGTGACTTGTGGACACAGGCTCCCTCCATCTTGTGGCTCCTCTACCCACTAGGGCCTCAGGGTTCCTGCATCCAGCAGGCAGATGTGGGGGGAAGTAAAGGCAAACTTGCTTCCTAACTTGTTGCCAGGGCGGGAAAGAGACACATCACTTCCACTCCCTTTTTGTCAGTGAGAACTAACCCCCTGGCCTCACCTGGGTGCAAGTGCCAGCGAAAGCTCCACACTACAGAGCGGACCGAGAATCCATGGACAGTGAGCCAGGCGTACCCATCCACTCACATCCTGTTTTGGCTTAGTTTAGTTTAGGTTTTTTTTTTACAGTCTCCCAAAACTTGAGCTTTGGCAGGCACACGGTCAGAGCCTCTGATGAATGGATAAGTTTGACCACCACTCGGCACCACATAACAGGTCTGCAGCTTCTTCCTGGGGCCGGGGTTCCTCATTCCCACTCCCAACCTCCACCCAACGCTAGTCCTACCTGCTGCAGGGCCCCATGCCTGATGCCAGTCTGTTTTCCACCTGCACTCCAGGTGGTAAGAAACAAGCCCAAGTCTTATTGGCTTAAGGGAGGCAAAAGGGAAGAGACATAGTGGCTTCAATAGCATATCATAGAGACACTGATCTAATGGTGTCACAAGGACCCATGTGTTTTTCTCCAAGTGGGGCTTCATTCTTGGGCAGGCTCCCCCTGCTGTTGGAAAACCTCTCCCAGCAGGTCCAGGTTATCCATGCCAGGATGGAAAAACAGCATCTTAGTCCTGACATTTCCTGTGAAAGTCACAGGCTAGCTCTGTCCTGCATCCACTTTGGCACAATAATTGGCCAGGGGCACTGGGGTGGTGTGCCCAGCCTTGGAACTGAGGAATGAGGCCAGTGCCCCCACCAGGCTGCATGGTGTGAGGGTAGGCACCTTCAAAGAGTTCTAGGCTCCCTCTGGGACTGTTCCCTCGGTCCTCAGGACCTTGGCTCAGGAAGTCAAGCCCTGTTGGTCCTCCCTCCTGCCCTGGACTGGGCCAGGCACACCACTGGCCTGAGCCTGTAGCTGTGTCACCAATGAGGAATAGGAAGCTACCTCAAGGGACACCTCATCATCCTAGGTCTCTGTCCCACTGGTGGGAGGGGAAGGTGTGCCAGAGAGGTAGAGTCCAGCCTAGGATAACCCTCATCTCCACCTGGCTCTGGCTCTGACTCTATGTCCTACACATGCCCCCGGCTCTGCTCAGCTTCCCTCATCAAGGGGCTCATCAAGTGGCCCTGAAATGACCCTAAGGCAGCCTTCCCTGTGCCAGTGAGACCTAATTAATTCATGCTGGGGGCGGAGCCACAGCAAGTGGAGTAGCTGGCTGAGGTTACCTCAGACACTGCCCTCGGAAATGCCAGCTCCTGCCCTGCCCACAGAGGTGCAGCCTTGGGTATGGGGACAAGGACCTGGATGCCCTGAGGCCTGGGTGTTCTCCATCACCTGAGTCAACGCAGCACATCCGTCCTTCATCTCCCTAACTGGGCCTCGCCCACCACCCCCGCAGCCCCTCCTGCCCTGGGGATGCCAGCCATGAGGCTGCCAGCTGACGCTGCTGACTCCCTGGGGAGAAAATGGGCTTGGCAGAACAGGGCAGGCCTGGTCCCCAGTTCTTGCTGAGCCAGGGAGACCAGGGCCTAAAGACCAATCAAGGGCTTTCACACTTTCATTTATTGCACTTGAACTCTTCAGTGGTCCTTTGGCCGCTTTCCGATACTGGCACTATTGTCAGCTACTGTCCACAGCTCTCGCTGGCTCACAGATTCACCTGGGGAACGCGGCCACCACAGGCCTCTTTCCCAACACTGGACCCTGGGCCTTGAGCCTAGTCGGGGCCCTACAGGTGTCCTCATCTGGAAAGAAGGGGAGCTGTTACCCTCTGCTGCCCCCAAAGTCCTTCAAGTCACCACCTCTTGCTTGGATTCCCTGAAGCGCAGGACACTCAAGCCACGGGTCTCGGCTTACTCCTCTGTGTCAAGTCTCGGGGACGGGGTACTTCGTTGGCCTGAGCAGAGTTGTGTCCCGCCGCTGGGTGGCCTGACCGGGCCGTACCAGCAGCCTGGTTGGCTCCGCTGGCGCTGGCAGAGTGGGCAGCCCGGGGGGCCTGGTTGGCTCCGCTGGCGCTGGCAGAGTGGGCAGCCCGGGGGGCCTGGTTGGCTCCGCTGGCGCTGGCAGAGTGGGCAGCCTGGGGAGCCTGGTTGGCCCCGTCGGCGTTGCGGGCCGCCCCGGGGGCGTGGTTGGCTCCATTGGCAGCGTGGGCCGCCCCCTGGGCGTGGTTGGCTCCATTGGCAGCGTGGGCCGGCCCGGGGGCGTGGTTGGTTCCATTGGCAGTGCGGCGGACATCGCGCGCTGGGGACTTGGGCGGGCTGGGCGGCTTGAGCGCTCTGACCGCCCGGATGAGGCCCATGCGGCGGCGGATGGAATGGTCCAGGTTGACCGTGCAGCGCAGCAGGTTCTGCGCCTCAGCCACGGTGAAGGGGAAGTCGGCGCTCAGGAAGCGCTGGAAGAGCTCGGGGTCACCGTCCAGGTCGAGCACGTTCTGCAGCGCCTTGGTATTGGTGTGCAGCTCCTGGCTGTTGTCTCGGAACACATCCCAGAGGCGCGCGCGGGCCTCTGGCGCGCCCCCGGACTGCTGCCGGTCCTCCAGGCACTGCAGCGCCCAGCTGAGGCGGCAGGGCCACTGGTTGGCGAGCACGACCCAGGCCACGGCCTGGCGCGGCGTGGGGCCCTCGAAGTCCCGCTGCTGCTGTTGCAGCAGGCGCAAGGTGATGGGCACGGTGTTGACGATGCGCCGCATGGACACCACGTTGTCGGGCACGTACTCGTAGAGGCAGTCGCGCTCGTCGTGCAGGCAGAAGAGCGCCTCCTGGATGCGGCGGGCCGCCTCGGCGTCGATACGGCTCTGCGTGCGCTCGGCCCCCGCCTGCATCTCCACCGCCAGCAGCTGCGAGCCCTCGTCAGCGCCCGGGCTCGGCGGCTGCAGCTGGCGCGTCATCTCCCTGTACAGCAGGTCGTCGCGGCTCTGCACGGCGTCTTGCAGGAACTGCAGCTTGGTGCGGCGGCCCATGATGGGCACGGAGAAGGGCAGCGTGACCGTGCGGTTGAGGAAGAGGTAGCCGTTGTCGGCCATGCCCTTCATGGAGCCGGCGCATTCGAGGCACGCGGCCAGAATGCTGGGGTCCACCACCAGGATGAAGATGAAGGGTGCGTGGCTGTCAGACAGTAGTGTGTTGATGGCGTTGAGCACGCCCACCACGTGCTCGGAGTAGCACGTGTCCAGCCCGGTGACCTCGAGCACCACGCGCAGCCGGCGCCGCTGGTAGATCTCCAGGAAGCACAGGAAGTCGGTGAGCAGCTCCACCTCCTTCTTCACCTCGCACATGAAACCCAGCTGGCTGCCGAATTTCTCTTGCGACACTAGCCGCTCTATCTTCTTGCGCTGGCTCACGAACAGGTGCTTGCCCACCGAGTACACAGCCATGAGCAGGCCCGAGCCCGAAAGCGTGGTGGCCGCGCCACCGAACACCCGCAGCACGCTGTTGTTGGCGCCACTGTGGCTCAGCGCGTGGGCGCCCAGCGACAGGTAGAGCAGCGCCACGCCGAGGCCCAGCGCCGCCAGCAGCGCCACCAGCGCCAGGCACACGCGGCGCCGGCAGTGCCATTCGCGCTGGCGGAAGCCGGTCGACGTGGCCGGCTTGTTGCCCAGCACCGAGTATACGCTGAAGGGCAGCGCGCCGTAGTGGTGGCGGATGCCCTCGCACAGCGTGGTCACCAGGCCGGCCCACAGCTTGTCCGAGCCCTCGTACTGCCAGGCGCTGAAGCGGATGAAGAGGAACTTCACGTTCCTGCGCCGCAGGTGCACCTCGGTGATGACCGGCTGCAGGAACACCAGGTACCACAGCAGCTGCGGTAAGCCCCAGCCGCGCACCGCCCTCGGCTGCCACTGCACGCGCTGCAGCACCTCGGCCTCGCGCTGCGTCGCCTCCTGCTCCATCAGCGCTGTGGGGACAGAGGGGCGCGGGGATCGGGTCGGCTGCAGAGGGTCGGGGCCAGGCTCGGGCGCGCGCAGCGCTCGGATGTGGGCGGGGCTCGTCGGGGGCGGGGCTCT